CAGATTAAAAACGAAAGCCTTGTTATGCCGAGTGGATCAGTGTGATGCTATTTCCGCTGGGGAAAAACCAGTTAAATGTTATTGCTCATTAGCCCAAGGGGACCCTTCCTTCCTGTCTGTGCATTGCTGTAGCGTTTTATTAATGAGTTCTCTGTTTTTAATTGTGGTTTTAATATTTTCTCTGTCCCCGAACATGACAAAGAAGAACTCACACCCTTTGTAAGTCCTTTCAATATTTAAGCATGTTGATGGGCCCGGGGATAAAACGTCGGTGCTGCAGATCCCTGGCAGTGCCACTCAGTTCTGGCATGGTTTCTGTGGCGATCTTGTGTTGAGAACACTTGGTATTAGCAGGCCTTTGATTTGGGGCTACCCTTAAGCTCCCCCTGTGCAGAAGAGCATCTGTTCCCAGGTCCTGCTGGCCAGTCTCGTGGAGCATAGAGGACCACTGGCTGACTGACTTACAAACATGGACAAAACAAAGCCCTCAGGGCCACACCTCTGCCCAGCTCCTCATCCCTGATGCTCCCCTGCTCCTCATCGTTGGTGCTCCCCTGACTCTTCAGCTCCTCATCCCTGGTGCTCCCCTGACTCCTCAGCTCCTCATCGTTGGTGCTCCCCTGACTCCTCAGCTCCTCATCCCTGGTGCTCCCCTGACTCCTCAGCTCCTCACTCCTGGTGCTCCCCTAACTCCTCAGCTCCTCACCCCTGGTGCTCACCTGACTCCTCGGGTCCTCATCGTTGGTGCTCCCCTGACTCCTCAGCTCCTCGCCCCCGGTGTTCCCCTGACTCCTCTGTTGTGCTTGTCACCTGCGGACCTATGCTCCCAGCCTGTCAGTCACACTTGTGTAGGCTTTCACTTCCGTAACCCAGGCCGCATTCTTTCCTTTATCTGTAATATCATTGTCTTCTCCACCCGGGCAGGTCCTACTAAGTTTTCAGGTTTAATTTCCTCTTTTTTTCATGAACATTCTCAGCCCCATGGTAATTTTCTCTTTCTTCTGAATTTATACCATTTAACATCCAAACCTCTAATTTGACATAGGATTAGAGCTGGCCCGTGATGGTAACATTCCTGTCAGAAGTGGTCACTTAACTTTCCGTGTGCTCTGGTTGTGGCTGCTCAGCTGAAAAGTGGGGCTAATTATAGTGTCCACGTCACGGGGCCGTCCGGAAGGATTAAATGAGACAATGGATGTCCACTGTGTGGAAGGGCACTGAACACAAGGGACGGTTTGGGAAACCGTCAGCCGTCCAAAGTGAGACCAGCCGGTGGGGATCATCTTTTAGGAAGCTTTTAACAAATTCATACCTAGGGTTTATGTCGGGCAGGAAGCAGGTACTCGGTTTATAGCCAACAGGAAGAGAGCCTTGGCAAGACCCAGGTGGCTGTGTGTGGGCAAGCCCATGGGTGGTGTGATACTTAGTGTCGACGTGGCGGAAGTTAGAATCTCCTGGGAGACAGACTGCTGGACACAACTGTGGAGGTGATCGTCATCCTGCCCACTGTGGGCGGCACCATTTCCTCGGCATCTTGGACCTCAGCGGGTAGAATTACACATTTATAATTCTCGTCTGACTGTGGACGTAATGTCTGAAGCTCCTGCCACTGTGACTCCTCTGCCGTGGTGAACTGTGACCTGGAGCTGTGAGCTAAATAGGCCCTTTCTCCCTTGAGTTGCTTGTCTAAGGGTTTTATCACAGCCGTAGAAGAAGAAATAAGACAGACAGCATGCTCGGTATCCTAGGGGCACAGTCTCAGAAGGCCGAGGCTGTCTCCTTAGCTGGTGCTGTCTCCATCTTGGCCATACACCAGTGTGCCAAGCACATTGCCACAATTCTTGCTCTCTGTCTTTTCATAGTCACCTTACTGGATTCTGATCCTTCCTGTGGGTTTTCTTTGCTAAGTCTCATGGTGCTGGGCCCTGTGCATTGCTCATGGTAAACTCTGAAATATCTGTCCTGCTGTTTGGTATTGTTGTTGTGTAACAGAGGACTCCCCTCTCATGTTGCTCATCTTAAAGAGGTGTCTTATATCGATGTACCTGCATGTTCATTACATGCTTTCAGCTGAACCACTGTAGAACACATCTGTCTTTACCGGATCCCTGTAAATACGATAGCAGGCTTGCATTCAGCTATGTACTTACTGGGCTCTTGGGTATGACTTTGCTTTAAGGGACCTGATGTTTGAATCTATAAAACCTCTTGATTTTCATTCCTTTAAGACTGACCTGCCATTTCTCTTTAAGGACTTTTATGCACTTTATAGTGTTCTGTATTAATTTCATTCTTCATGTAAAAATCATGCTTTGAATTAAAAATTAAGCCTAGTAAAACAATGAATTGTGGCCGGGCAGTGGTGGTGCTCGCTTTTAATCCCAACACTTGGGAGGCAGAAGCAGGCAGGTATCTGTGAGTTTGAGGCCAGCTTGGTCTACAGAGCTAGTACCAGGACAGCTAGGGCTGTTACACAGAGAAACCCTGTCTTGAAAAGAGCCAAGATAATAAAAATAAAAATAAAAAAAAATAATAATAATAGTTTTGTTGATAATTGATCTGGGCATCTTCCAGAAGTGCAAGCCAAATAGCCTCTCTCACTCAGCCTTCTTCTGTGAGGCAGTTCTGTTACCAGGAGCTTATAATCAAAGCCACTCTGATGCGACCTGCAATAAAAGAGATAGGGAAAATTGGCCCCATGTTGAACAAACATATGAGTTAAATGAGTGACCACGCATTCTCAATTATGTCTGAAGATAACGTGAAACTTACGGGAGCAGCCAGTAAGGCAGCCTTCCCCAGGGCCAAGAAGACTTTACAAAGGACCCACCACACTCCGTGGAATGCATGAAGACAGCACCACTGTGTGCTGCTTCTGACCTCATCGAGAGGACCAAGAAACGTTTTGTTTGCTAGCAAGAGCCCTTTCTTTGTTTTGCTACTTATTCTTTTAAAAGCTTAAAAACCCATCCTTCTGCTAAGATTCCATATTTGCTGTGTGTGGAGTCGACGTTCATTGGTCACAGAAGGAGCACGATTACAGCTGTCATATCAGTTTCTCATTAAGGTGTTATTGATCTTGGTATATTGAGCAATAAACATTTCTGGTTAGTTAATGTTTATTCTTCAGCCACGCTCTAAACAGTGTGGTGAAATCAAACCGATTAATGTCTCCCAGTAAAAATGTTATGTCCGGACTAACTGATTTTACATAAAGTCAGGCCCTTGCTGCAGAAGAAAAACGGCATATGCCAGGACCCCAGTGTCCGAGAAAGCCAAAGTGGAATAAAGAACAGCTAGACACTAGAAAAATTCTAGAAGAGAGAAAGAATGCCTCTAAACATCTGAAAAGGTTTCAGAGAGCTCTCACTGAGCATGTCACAATAGGGGTGATCAGCCAGCAAGATGGCTCAGAGGGGAAAGACACCTGCTACCAAACCCGGCCTGCCCCAGACCCACATGTGAAAGAGAACAGATGTGCCCAAGCTAACCTCCACATGCACACCATGGCACAAGTGCGCTTTCTCTCTCTCTCTCTCTCTCTCTCTCTCT